GTTGCAACCCTGGTTTTTTATAGATGAAGTTGTTCACTGTTCAGGCAAACAAGACTGACCAGAACAATTGAATCGGGGCTATCGATTATTATAATGCATGTAGGAGATGAAAAACCCAGAATAAGACATCTCACCCGGTCACGGTGAATGTATTTGGTGAGATATGCTCAAATGGTAAAATTTTGTCGATTGTAGAGCCAAGATTTACAAAAATCCTACATCGAACGAATGTTGAAGTCGGAGGTGCTGCCCCAGTCCCAATCACGTCTTGTGAACGAAAATTGACCATTCTATCAGTACGGAGTGCCTGCACACACTGCAAAGCTCACTCGTCAGTGGTTCAACATATTTGAGATTTCAAAACATATTTTCTTTCCGTCACATGATAGTTTTTAGCTTTATTATCTTCCTGAAAATCATAATTACTCCAACTCACCAGTATTCAATTCGAATAAAAAAGGCAAGATCCTGTGTGATACCCGTGCTTGAACTGTTCTGTGATATTTCGCTCAGTGAGAAATATCACAAGAAAAGTCTAACACGGGTATATTTGTTATCATTCCTTTTGTGTCAAATAGCAGAATAAATGTCAGGTAAACGACCTGTGCTGGATCTGTTCTTGTGATATTTTTACGCTGTGAAAAATATCACGAAAGAAAGAGGCAGCACAGGTCGACTGGTAACCTGACCATTCATGATAGGAATATTTAGCAGAATAGCATTTTACAGTAGGATTGTTGGGTCCCAGTGGACCTGCGCTCAATCTTTGCTGTGATATTTTCGAGCTCTAGAAAATCTCAGAAAACAAAGATCAAGGGCAGGTCGTACTGAGATCGGTCCAATATCTGTTGGAATACAAGGTAGATGCACAGGCAATAAATTCGGATTGTTGGGTGATTCATGACTTGATCCAATCTAGTGGATGAAAAACACAAGGCAGAAATAATGAAATGGCCGTTGAAACCCAGTTTTTATATGGACCAGAAGAGGCGGTGCTTATTCAAAAGTAATCGTTTTCTAGAATATGACAAAGACTTTGCTCCGCCCTTTTGATTCTGTGTCTACCGACTGTTTTTTACGGATTCCAAAAAATATACAATTTAATATAGATGTTCGAATTCATTGAATCGGTGTATACCGTATTTCCTCTAATAGAAGTCAACTCAAATTTTGACTTTGAGCTCAATTATCTTGGTTCTCGGGAAAAGATGTCAAAAGTGGTCAACTGATAAAATGTTGATCATGCTATTGACAGTGTTTTGTCAGTTGACAGATTTTTTATCTTCTCTACATGAATCGAAATAATTGAGCTCTATTAGAGGAAATATGGTATCTCAAATGTAACACTTTTAGGTATTGGGATTTGAGACCATATATGTAATAGAAAAATTTTAATTTCTTCGGTCACTCTTTTGCTTTTCATACGAAGTTTCTGAAAATGGGAATTCAGAGTTTCGAAAGTTAGATTACTGTAGCTAGCAAAACAATTTGTTGGAATGCAAAAATATCCGGATTTCATTCTATCTAACATTCCGGATTTCGATACCTGGATCAATCTAAATGTTGTTTTTGGATTCCGTGTTTCAGAATCTAAAATTTGAGATTCTGAAATTTTAAGACGCAAATACTGGAAAACTATAGGTTCCACACATTTTGTATTTGAAATTCGAGACAGAAAAAGAAACCTAAAATGAAAATATACGAAATACGAATTCTATGTTCTGAAATCTGAATTTGAATTTTTTTTCTGAAATGCAAACTATACAGCTTCAATGTTCATGGATTCGAAAAATATAAAATTCCATCATACATTTTCTCATCTTAGTCAGAACTAACCAGCCGAAAAAATTCTGAAGAAAACATCTCGCATCAAATACCGTCTAAATGGCTCCGATTTGAGACTGCACATAAAAACCATTAAAATTGTGTTTCTTTGTCAAAAATATGAAGGCATATTTTGAAAATTAGTTGTGGTTAGTGACACAATGTCAAATATTTATCGTACTCCAGTAGGAACCGCATGGCTTAGAGTTGTTCCTATAATAACACCTAAATTGCAGTGAGTCCGATACTTCCTATGCGGATATTTTACATTCTGTGTTTTCAGCTCACACAAGCTCACACAAGCCGTCAACTTTGAGCTTAAACATCTTGGTTCCTTCAAAAGATATTGAACATTCATGATGGTATTTTAGTTAATAACTCATTTCTTGACAAATTTCAGATCTTTCACGATTTTGAGATAAATGAGCTCAAAATTGACGGTTTGAGTGGTCTTCTATCAAAGGAAATGCGGTATTTCTCAAAAACGATGGAATAGTTACAAAAGTAATGCTGGGAATTTTTTGATTTGAAAAAACTGTAAATGATTTTTATTGGAGAAAAAATTTGATTCAACCAAAAAGGAGAGGTTTCATTTGATTAAGTTCTTACCAAGTTGTAATCTACTTCAACCGACGCAGTTCTGTCTCAATGAAGAAGAAGAAGAGAATGACTAGTTGAATTAGGCCTGTTCTAAAATTCCTCAACGTTACTCACAACACTAGGTGAGTAACGCCTGAAGGGATTCTAGAACGAGCCAGTGCAGAAGTTTTCGAAAAAGCAGGACATAATATAGAAATGAACGTGACTTTTAAAAGTGGTTTACTAAATTCAAATTATCCAGTAGAAGGCAGGCAATTTTCAAAGTCTTTGAATCTTGATGCTGCTCACAATAGTTCTCAAAAAATTCGTGGTTTTGGGAGCCGGAAAAGCCCCGTCTTCCTGCAAAATTTCGATTTGTATCCTAGCAGGTGTCCAAGTTACCCGCTCTCCATTTTTTTCCAAAGTTCTAGTGCCACTTTTGAGTATACTTTCTCTTTGTGTTTCTTTCGAGTCTCTTTTCTTTGTCTGAAAAGCCGAATGGAGCTATTTAAAGCTTCAAGAATCCACGTTACTAGAGGAACAGAAAATTAATAGAACCGCCTGGAAAAGTAAACGACATCAGTTAACATTGACGGAGTGTCGTTAAGACGATGTTGAAGCCAAACTGATGTGAATTTTTTACTCCTAAATCACAATCCCGTTTTCAAGATCGAAACATTTTTCGGAACATTTTTTTTTCAGCGGTTTTGTGAATATTTTCAATATTTGAAAACTGGATCATGTAAAGACGATATATTTTTCTGTACTCTTTTCTATTATTATCCGCTATTTTTACGTTCCATTTTCTCAACTTTCTTGAGAACGTCACTCATTATAACCCTCTTCCTCGATCTGCTCATTTTTCTTCATTTTTCTGCTCTTTTCTTCTTATTATCACCAATATAGAAGCCATAGCTGCTTGAGACTGCAGAGATATGAAGATGTCGTCTCGGCCGGCTCTCTAGCGCCCCGGTGCCTGTGCCAGGGGGTGCCAGGTGGAACCGCCGGCAGAGGAAGAGCAGCTAGACGAAAAATCTCCGTCTCTTCATGCTCGAATGATGTTCTCTAACGCTGCACATAGTAATATGTTCTCGTGAAAAAGAGGGATTAGAGAAGATAAGCGGCAACAGAGATCGCAAGTTGAATATTGGCAAAAGAGCAATATCTGAGATTTTAATGACCTAAGTAATTTGAAAACTAAATTTGATGAGCTTCTGAAACTTAGAGAATAGAATTAGGGTCACAGTGAACATACTTTTAAAAGTTTTATTTGAGCAAATATATAAATAATGGTCACAGGTAGAAAAAACAGGGTTTAAAGGGATAATAGTGGAACAATCAGGATTAGGAAAAAACGAACATGAAGAGTAGAGAGAGAGAGAGAGAGAGATACACAACATGCAAATAACTGATTTTTGAAAAACTTCAAATCCTTATGAACTCAAACCATCTCAATAGCATACTTTGCCTTTTTTGTGGCCTTGAACGCGAAATAGGCGGTTGTGGCTACCAAAATGAAAACGCAAAGGGAAGAGATAACCAAGCCAATGATGGAATAGACCGTCGACATGCTTTCGTTTTGAACTGGATCGGAAGAAATAGAAACGTCCACTTTTTCTTCCGAAGTCTTGGAATGGGGGTCCAAAGAGTTCTGAGTGGAGTATGGGCTGAGCTGAAATCAGAACGTTTTGTAAATAAATATTTGATTGACCGGTTCAAAGTTAGGGAACCTTCAAAAAAATTCCCTACCTTTCAATTTGAAACAATTTATTTCGGTTCTGGTCAAAGATAAAAAACACTGTCAACAGAAAACTTGTTCATCATAATATTACCAACGTTTTATCAGTTGACACAATTTTGATATTTCTCACGGGACCCGAGATACATTAGCTCAAACTTAACGAAGTGTGTCCTTCTATTATCTGTTTTATGATAAGTTGAAAAAAATGTCTCACCTCATCACTTGATTCTGAATGAGCACTGACGGTTTCTGTCGGTTGGTGAGACAAATCGTTCTCAAGGCTGGGTATATCCACTTGGATTGTCGGACGCTGAAAATGAATTTTTAGGTAGATTCAAGAAGCAGAATCCTTACTTTTCTCGATTTCCCGTAGTCTTGTGGAACGAAATTGATTTTGTCCTGCGATTTGCTTCCTTCCTAAAAATATAATATTTGCTAAATTTAATACTAGCTTTGATATCACAAAAATTAACCCAGTACCATAAAACCTGTGAATCAAGAGTCTTCTTATCTCAAGTTTAAGTTCATTTATCTCGATTCCAATGCGAGATATCGAAAATGTTTCAACTGATGAAATGTTGGTGGTATCATGGTAAACAATTTATCAGTTACAAGGTTTTCATATCTTCGAAAGGAATTGAGATAAATCGGCTCAAAACTCAAGCTTAGGGGGTCCTCCTTTTATAGATATCACGGTAATCTAGATTTTATGAATACAACCAATCTACGAAACTAAAGTTGTAGAGAAAAAAATTACTCGAAAATTCCCGGTTTCTTGGAATAGGAAAACTGAGGATTCTAAAACACCAAAAAACTGGAGAAATTCAGAATTTCAGAGTCATGGATTACTAAAAATTTCTACTTCCTCACCATGATTCTCATGTAGTGTAGCTGATTGATCGCACTCAAGTCGTTTCTAAGGAGCAGATTGACAATTCCAAGATGTGAGCATTGTTGGAGATGAAGCTGTTTCATGAGAAGACGAGCTTCTCGTTCAATTTCTGCCGGATATCTGAATCCTTCGTCTTCAAGGTTCGTGAATGCGGCTTCTAATTCTGCTTCTCGTTCCGCTACCGTTTGATGCTTCTGAAAATTTGTATTTTTGAATGCACTGTCGTAGTTTATACTAATTTTATAAATATCACCATTGAAAATAGATTTAGAGAATTTGAAGGAATCCAAAAATATTACCTTAGGTTTATCTTGGCAGTTAAAAAGAGCGTTCACATCAACATCACCGTTTGTCGGGAAAATTACATTGGCGAAAATGAATAAATGAAAGATCAGCGTCCAAGTTGAGATGGAAGGTTTCATTTCTGAAATGGAAAATTCGCAACAGGCATAAATAAAGAAATGGTTAAGAGTTCACAAAACCTAGGAAAATAAATCGAATGAAAACCTAAAATGAGAATAAAAAAGGCGGGATGAAAGAGGAGGATTAGTATCTCTTTTGTTCTACACCATTATCTAAACTGGTACCTCTTATTAGGCACAAAACGATAAGATTACTGTAGCACAATGAGTTCATTATTACCATTTTTTAGGAGATAACGACTCTGGGGAGAATGCAATGAAAAGAAATAAAATCCTATCTCGTTATGCGATAATAATTGGTTTGGGAACAAAGAGAGTCTATTGTTCTGAAGTTACAGTATACTTAACTATAAACTGTCTACTCTGAACTATAGTATTGTAAAAATAGTTGTTGGAATGGAGGATCATTTAATTAGTTTTTGTAATACTGTTGAAAAAGTGAGGAGAGGAGCGACGAACTTGAACCTTGTTGTTATGCGCACCAGCCAAATGCTTGAAGCGCCGCAGGCACGGCAAACTGGTTGGTAGTTATAAAAATTGAATGAATTATTTTTCCCGTGACTCAGAAAAAACACCATATGAACCCAAAACTTTACTCTCGGAAAGCATTTGAATAGGCATGAATCAGACTTTTTTGCATGGCAGAGCAGGTGAAATTTTTGCGCCTGTATGTGAGATAAACTGGAAAAAACCCCACTAGGCTGAAAAAAAATCGAAGAAATCAAGATTCTAAACTAACCACAGTGTTAAGAGAGGTGTTCCGGAGAAAACCTTTGCGAAAAAGTTACAAGGAACGAAATTTGATCCGCTTTTCAATTTTCTCTTGCGGAATTTTGCTGTTGATTTTATGAGGAAAATAGAGGGACTACTAAATAATTTATAGTGTTTGCTCAACATAACTAGTAAAAAATGCTCGATGCACTCGAAAAAAAACATGTGTCCTCGGGCGGGTTGTGCATAATTAATCGGATGGGAATTGGTTTTTTCTTGTCCTCCTATTTTCACGACAAGACGTTTCAAAAGATTTTACAACAAAATTTTATGTTGTGAAAATTACAACAGAGTTGTTCAGAAATTTTATTTGGCATAAATGCCCTGAATTGTTTCTAACCCTATTTTGCTGCGGAGAGGAACCAGTTATCGAAAACCCTGTCATAGGACGACCCCACACTATTAATTTTGAGCTCAATTATCTCAATTGTCAAGCAAGATTTCAAAAATGTGTCAACTGATGAAACAATCATAATTTTTTAATAAACAGTTTATTTGTTGACAACTTTTCCATGTCTTTGGCATGAACCGAGATAAACTGGCTCAAAGTTGAAAGTAGGGGTTCTCTTCTATTACAGGTTACGGTATGAGCCATTAAAAATTCTTTTAGCACTTCTAGCTGAGAATTTACATCTTGTAAATCTGAAATTCTTATCTTTTGAATCTGAAATAATCATTTAGATCACAGAAATTTTTTTTGAAAATTCAACTTGCGCTTTTAAAAATGAAAATAAATAAATAAATAATGGCGGTAAAAAAGAAGAAGATTTGTATCTACTTTATTTTGCCCCAATTCCAAAACTGGTACCTCTTATTACGCACAAAACGATAAGATTACTGTGGCACAATGAGTTAACCATGACTACGAGATTACAACTCTGGGAAATTTGTATTGACAGGTAACAAAATCTTGTCTCGATACAAAGGAAGACTATTGCTCTAAAGTACAGTATATTGTGAGAAAAGTTGTTGGAAGTAAAGATATTCTCAAAAATCTTACAAGGTCTATTTTCAGTCATTCCGGAAGAAAAAAATGATCTCAAAACTTTACTCTTGGGAAACATTTCAATAAACATGAATCAGTTTTTTTTTGCATTGAGGAACAGGTGAAAAATTTGCAGTAAAAAACGCCAAGTCGAAAAAACTGGAATTCAGATCTAGCCACAGCGATAAACTTGATTAATGGTTTTAAGATTTGATCAAGTCGATTTTTGTTCAAATCAAAAGAAATGTTATATGTTAGAAAATCTACATATACATAATCCAATCTAGTGTTTATAGGACCAGTTTCCTAGATCGAGGCTTCACCTCAAATTGAGTAATAAAACTGTGTTCACCTGAATTCGAAATCCAGGCACCACCCATTACCGAAATTTATGAGCAATCTCTTTTTATTCGAATAAACTTTAAAATTTTAATGAATACCATATGGTTTCTGTACCCGTACGAGACTAGCACAATACCACCAACGCACATCCAAATGTCATTACATCCAAATGTGCACCTGCCTCAAATCTCGGATGAACCGGTAAAAAAGTGGTTGTGTTCGAAATATAATGTGGACAGTCATTGATCTAAATTTTGGGAAAATATGAGGAAGAAGAGAAAGAGGAACTAAGATTCGGATTAACGCAAGAAGGCAAGTTCAAGAAGTCACAAAAATCTGACTTCCCTTTCTGCCTAAATTAGAGTCAAGAAGCCATACACGTTTCAGAAAATCACGAAACACAGATTTGCTTCTACTTCCTTTTGTCAACACGACAATTTGCAAAATCCTGACTCATGAATATCTCCGCCTCCCTGACAATACGTCAAATTTTGATGTATTATATATCGAAATTGGGCGTTTTGAAAAAAAAATATTTTCCAGCGTTGTTATTTTCCAGCGTTGTAATATCCAGTACAGTTCCTATTCTGATCGTCTCTTTATCCTCAATATGTTCTCCATTCGACATCGTAGGCTAAAAGCTCAACTAATTTTTCTTCTCTATAAATTTTTTAAATGGCTCCGTTTACTTTCCTAACCTAAATGCACATGTCAAATACTCCTCCTCCCCTCGTCGCCCTATGAACTTAATTATTGTTCAGCCCTACTCCTCTGACTATTTTTCTTCAATTGTTCCCCTGTGGAACGCCATCACTTCCCAAGTTACCCGATTTCTCCTACCTTCCGAGTTTGAATCCTTAATTCCTTCCAGTATTACCCGTTATTGATATATTTGCTCCCCTATTTTTCTTTTTCTACCGGTTACATCTTTCCTGTGTCAAATATCTAAATTATCCCGTTTCCCCTCCCCTACTCAGATCGGTCTCGTGAGGGGCATTTTTTCTGAGTCTTTCATGTCCTGCCCTCTAATGTTTTATTACACCTGATCAATAAACAAATTAAAGAAGCCCGAATGATAGTAAGAAATAAGGTGAAACATGAAAACAATTCTTATTTGAACATCATACTTCATAAAAGCATAATCAAAACATGTTTACTTTCTGAAATGAGTTGAACGAATTTGCAGAGTCGTAATGTGTTCCCAAATCTGAAGGTGAAAAAAAAAGAAAAAAACTCATTCTGACCATAATCCACCAATGTTAAAGATATTATATATGTATGCTAAACAGCTTGAGTTGCTTATGAAGAGCTCAGAATTTGGGCAACGAGAAGAATTTGGGCAACGAGAAGAATTTGGGCAACGATGTTATAAATATTATTTTCAGCATGTCTTAATTACCTTGTTCGCGAATTTTCAAGTCTTTAGGTTGATTTTCGGTGACTAATTCTATGCGCCTAGGCACCCTCGTCGAGGAAGGCAATAGGGACGTTGGCCAAGTAGCATTGGAAAAGTTATTGGAATCTCACGAACTACCGTGTGGATAAGCATAAAATAGTTTGGTCAGTTGAATACGGTCAAGATCCTTCTGAAAAACGTGAAACCTTGAAATTTGTTCACTCCGGAGAGAATCAAGGCCGTCAGCAAACGAGTTCGTCGAAATCCCAGAAAATCATGAAAACAATGAGTCTGGAGCTGTGATTGAGCAGTTAATCAGTCAGATGAATCGTAAGAAGTGAGCACAGACTGACCTTATATCGTGTTCAAAAAACTGGAATTCTGCCGAGCAATAACAATCTGATACGCATCCAGAAGTGCAAACCTCCATACGCCAAAATGAACACATGAAGATGGCGCACGCCGACGAGAAACCATTTACGGTGAAAGCCAGCTTTTTATCAAAAAACTATTGTGTTTTTTACCGAAATCTGAGCTTTCTAATGAGCATGTAACATGCCCAACAGAGTTACCTACCCTCAGAACGACGTCGTTTTTGGTGCAACAACCTCCGAATTCTGATTTCTGTAGATTTTGGGGTGAAAATCGACTAAGAGAACTAGTATGAGGACATTTTTGAGTGGCTTGTGCTTCCGTGGACTAAGTTCTATCTTAAAAATCATGTTTGGACTGTTCAACAAGATTCTGCTCTCGTCTGTGAGGCGAAAATTGTTCCAGCAGGTTGCATGGCCAACTTTTCAAGATTAAGCACGAATTGCAAACGGCCAGCCACGTCGGCAGACATGACTCTGATGGACTATTCCGTATATGGAATTTTTCAGTTAACAGTCCGAGCACGTCCACATTCCAATTTAAAGTGATTGGAAAGAAGTTCGGGCTTACTAGTTAGAATGGGCAAAGGTATCCCCGAAACACCACCATCCCACGATAGATGCGTTACCAAAAAGACTCATGGATTTTGTGAAGAACAAAGGCAATCGCATCTAACAACTTTTCTAATTTCGTTTCTAGAAAGTATTCAGTAAACTATTGTCAAATTTCCAAGTCGGTTCGAGTATATTCGGAGAAGTTACAGCACTTTAAATGTATTACCATACTTTTGAACCACCCTGTATTCCAGATAGAAAAGCCAGTATTATCAATAAAAAATCCATTTTTATTCGAAAAAAAATATAGCAAAATTTTAAATACAGTAACAGGCAATAAGATAAAAGTATTTTCAGTTGACTTCCAGCCATTTTGACTGTTTTAAACTAGTCGGGAGCTCGGCTGTCAATTTTTCGATCACTTTGAGAACTTTTGAGGGTATAACACAGATCTAGATTGAAAAATTTGCTATTAAAGAATTTTTTCGAAATTCCTAGTTTTTCAGCTATTTGCCGATTTCTGAATGACTTCTGTTTTATCACGTTCTACAAAAACGGATCAACAAGGGAGTGTCTTTCAAAAATGGTGAATAGCTGAAAAATTAGGAACTTTGAGAAAATTATGTGAATTCAAAGTTCCAAATCAAGGTCTGTTTCATAACCTCCAAAATTTTCCAAGTGACAGTGGAATCTTGACAGTCGACCCCCATACAAATAATTGCGAAAAAATTCCTTGTCCGTTTTTTTTTAACAAATAAAAATTGCACGCAATAAGTTACGCAACACAAAAGTACCGTAATTTTTTGTAATTTTATTACAACAAAAGGAGAAAAAAAGAGTTTTTCAGCATAACATGAAGTCAAACTAATTTGAAAAATGAAACATTAACGCCACAAAAAAGTAAAATAAAAAAGTATGGAATGAATCTATAATAATTAAACTTCATAATATTTCAACAAAAATGTTTCAAATTCCTTCGATTACCAAAGGTTATATATAAAATATGTTACCTCATTTTTTGATTCCGAAAGCGTTGTTGAAATTGTTGTTCCATGGGGCGGCAAAAGAGATGACGTCATCGTCGGTGAAGAAAATGTGGGAGACGATGATGGAGTGATTGGGATGATTTCGGCGAAATATTCTAAAAATGAAAAATTCTAAGTTTTTTGAAGGCAATTCTTGAATTGGCTCACCAATGTTTCCATTTTGGAGAGCTTCCTTCTCTTCGTTCACTGGAATTGATTAATTGATTCAGTTGATGAAAGTTGAAGCATCCTCAGTTATACAATTATAATTATTTTCATAAACTCACCGATGCCTTCAATTTGAAGAGACTCTTTTATTTTCGGCTCTTCGGTATTCGGAATTGCTTCGAAGGGAGCCTCTGAAAAGTGATTAATCCTCAGTTATTCAAAGATAATTTTTTGCTTAACTCACCGATGTCTTCAGTTTGGAAAACTTCCTTTCCTTTGTTGATCTGAATTGCTTCAGTTGTCGCTTCTAAAAGTTGAAACATCGTGATTTTTTTGAATGGAATTTTTAACTCACCACTTTCTTCCATTTGAAAAACTTCATTTTTCTCGGACTTTTTGTCAGACGAAATGGAAGAGGATGATTCTGAAAATTGAAACGTCTGGAGTTCCTATGTGAAGGCAATTTTTGCCTTATCTCACCGATGTCTTCAAATTGAAGAGATTCCTTCATTGTTGGTTCTTCAGTAATCGGAATTGCTTCGAAGGGAGCCACTGAAAATTGATTAATCATCAGCTGTTTGAAGGAAATTTTTAGCTTGACTCACCAATTTCTTCCATTCTTCCTCTTGTTTCTGCTTCTCTAGTCTTCGATGTTGCTTCGAAGGGAGCATCTGAGAATTGAAACATCCTCAGTTATTCAAAAATAATTTTTTGCTTAACTCACCAATGTCTTCAGTTTGGAAAACTTCCTTTCCTTTGTTGATCTGAATTGCTTCAGTTGTCGCTTCTAAAAGTTGAAACATCGTGATTTTTTTGAAGGGAATTTTTAACTCACCACTTTCTTCCATTTGAAAAAAATTTTTTTTCTCGAACTTTTTGTCAGACGAAATGGAAGAGGATGATTCTAAAAAAAATTTCTAAGCTCTTTGATGGAAATTCTTGAATTGGCTCACCAATGCTTCCATTTTGGAGAACTTCTTTCTCTTCGTTGATCGTAATTGCTTCAGAAGTTTCTGAAAGTTAAAACATCCTCAGCTAAAGACAATTTTTGCATTGACTCACCTATCTCTTCAATTTGAAGAACTTCTTTTCCTTCTCCATTGATTGTTGTAGGGGCAGTAAGATGGGAACTTCTAGAATTGCAACAGGACATTTTTTGATCTTCATCATCTTTTCTAATGAAAAAAATTGGCTGCTCGCACATCATTGGAGAGTGATGATTATAAACAATTAGTTCTAACAGCATTGCATTTTTGCATCCTTTCACAAGAACCTGAAAAGAAAGTGAAATCAAAACTGGACTGAGAATTGCTAGAAATTTATTTTTTTTAAGCTTTTAAATATTCTGTGCTTTTGCAAGTAGTTCATTCAAACATTTCTTTGTGTGTTTCTATCAATCCATTGCTTTAAACTTTTAAATAAACTCACGTAAATGTCGTGTGAACCGACATCTTCTTCAGTGGGATAGGCGAGCCAATCCTCATTTGATTCGGTGAAGAATCTTGGTAGGTAGGCATATTTGTTGGGATACTTGACTTTTACGTGAAGACGTATTTGGTCTTTCATTGAGACTTTCTTTCCACGTGGACAATACTGTCCGAGGCACAGAGCAGCGAGAGTGAGAAGAGGAAGCAAAGTTTTCAGCATTTTGTTCGACCTAAATCAACATGATGATAATAAGTTTTGGAGAAAACGCGTTGTAATAGTTGAGAGTTGTTGAGGTGGTATGTCATATGACCTTGAAAGTTGTACAAAAAAATAGCGAAGAAAAACCATCACTGCAAAGTTTCAAGTTTTTCAAAATTCCTAGGAAGTCAAAATTAGTTTATGATGTTTTTTAAAATAGAATGAACTGGCTTGACAAAAACACCAGTCTAATGAGAAGAGCTAAAATGTTCTGTATTCTCTTAAACTTTTTAAACTTTGCTTCTGAACGATACTGTGCTTTTAGTGGAGATTCTTTTCTCGAAATTGGTGGAAAAGTTTGGGTACTACTAAATTAATGAAAGGTTTTCATGGTTAGTGAAGATAGAAGGCTGGAAATAAAATCACTGACTATAGTTGAAATTTTTGAGCAAAATCCCAACTTGTTTGAAAAACGGTAGAAGCAACAATACTATTCTTTAATTTATGTATTCCTAGAAACTGTTTTACGCAACTTAGACAACATTCATATTTACACATTGATGTACCATTTTCAATCGTCCAGCATAGGCCGTGATGTTTGACACCAGCTGTGATGATGTACCTCTTCATTGTTGTGGGTGTCTCAGAGTTGTATAATCAACTATACGATTTGATTAGAGCATTGAGTTGTTCGATAGATCCGTGCTTTGTTGAGAAGGTTTAGTTTATCGCAGTTTGCATTTAAAGTCATTATGTTTCTCACAACAAGATCTACAGTACCAGGTCAAAGAGATATGCAAAAACGTATTTTTCAGTGGATTTTGCTCTTTTGCATGAGTCTGGAGCTTGGCTGTGTCCGATCGTTTTGAAAACATTGGAGGGTTTCAAACAGACCTAGATTGAAGAGTTTGCATTTACAGAATTTTTCAAAGTTCCTAGTTTTTCAGCTATGGGCAAACAGTTAAATGTTCTGTAGTCTCCTGAATATTTCAAATTTTTATTCTAAATTTTACTGGGCGTCGTGAGAGAATTTTACTGGGCGTCGTGAGAAATGAAGATTTAATTCCTCTCCCTACGTATAGTATATAAACGGATCGACTGGAGAGAGCGTAGGATCACAGGAAACAGAGGAGATGGAGAGATCAACGTGAGCGCCCAATGAGAGGATGATATCAAGTCGTCCATCAAGATTATTTTCATGAAAAAAGCATAAGTTTGAAGCAAGGTAAGACAATTTTTGGGAAACGCTGAAATCAATTCTGAACCAAGTTATTGTGTTCGAACTCAATTTTTGATGCGGAAAATGAGCTAATTGACTTTGTAAAATTGATAAACATCAAAAGGAGCAAAAAAAACTCGTCCAAATTTCAAGGGTTAAACTGGTTGAAACGCAGCTGACCTTAACCCTGATTTTTAACTTTTTAATGAAACACATGAGCTTTTGGTTAAGTGAAAAGTGGTTTTTAAATGAAATTTTTGTCTAATCACGCAATTCTGACCCAAAAACAACTAAAATGAAATAAAATGAAAACTCATGAATAAAATGAAAACTCATCTTTAATACCCCACATGGAATAGGACTCCAATATGGGAATCGGTAAATCCTTACGAAAAATTAGGAAACTTGTAACCGCTTGTTGCCAGTTGTGAAAAACAACAGAAAATAACAAAATTAGCACATCAGAAGATATTTTGACACTTTTGGAAACCGTACTGGTCGGAATGGGCGGATTAAGACACCCATTCGAAGCTTCGATGAAAAACCCTTCAAAACGGACCAAAGGATAATATGAGACATGGGATTTGAGTGGAATTTGTTTCAAAACGGTTGATTTGACATTTTCTGGGCATTGGATCCGCCTTCCGGCTCGATGTTATGACATCTTCAAAAATTTAAATAGGTGAACCTATCATTTTGTGGAATTGTCTTTTGTCTAATTTCGAATTTTTCGGATCTTCTCAAAAAGTAAAAATACTCGAGCTCAATATTTTTCAACAAATCATAGTTTCATTTTTGCATACTTTTGTTACTAACACCAATTTGAAAATTTTCGAAATTCTCGATTTTCGAAATTTCCTAGGGTTGAACCTATCATTTTGTGGAGCACTTTAGTTGATTTGTTTGGGAATAACAAAATTGAAAAAATGTAGTTTTCCAAAAAGCGTCATGAGAAGTAATGAAACAGGGCTGGAAACAAGGTTACGGACTATAGTGGAAAATTTCGAAATTCCACGATCAAAAAAGATTACTAGACAGAATAGCATCTGCTCTTCATACCATGTAGACATGTACTTCTGCACCTGTTACTCTTTGATGTCTTTTCAAAAAGACGGCCAATGTTCTTTCCATTCATTTTAGTGAGGGAATTTGATCACAAGGGAGCTTCAACATATTTTAACCCCGATTTTTATGAAGTTTTCAAGAGAAGTTAAGAAAGACATTTCTAAAAATTTCAGAATCTGCTAGCCAATTTCAGCAGAGTTATATCAGTTTCAGTTCCGAAAATCGCTATTTTCAGTACAAAACTAAGACGTTGTAGCACATGAAATGTGTCATGTTATTATCCTTGTCAGAGAAAAAAAAAGGTTGAGTCGAAGTGTATGCGAAGTTTGTAAACAAATATCTGAAAGCGTAAACAAAAAAAAACGTAAACAAACACAGTTGAAATGAGTGCGACAGTAACCCGGCGGAAAATGTTAAATTTACCTATTTTTTAGTTTTTCTCATATTTTGCAACAAATTTCGTCGAATATGGATTGTTTTTCATTGTTATTTGCGGCATATTGAACTATATTCAATACAATATGCAGCCGGACGGGTCTATCTGAATAA